CATTATTGCTCACTACTACCGGTCTACTCAGGTCGGCTGGAATTACGACTGACCGTCTGCTGCACGGAGTGTACTATCGCCACAACGACGGAAAGACCGGAGGCACCTCAGAGATGTGCCACGCCTATCTACCAGTTGCTTCAGGACAGACAACATTCGAATCCATTTGCTACGAAGCATCAGATATTCAGGATACCCTCTTTAACGTATTCAAGTAAGCACGCATGTGGGTGCCTTGTGGTTGTGCATGCTCCCATGTACGTACTTGTGTATGTCTCATTGGGGTGTGCATGCGAATTTGACTTGGATTGTGTGTATACATGTTTTCTTATCACGTACTGTCAAGCCAGAAAGGCAAACTTATCAGAATATAAATTTAACAGGATAAAATCATTAGAATAAACCTATCAGGATGAACTTGTCGAGATACCCCGCTGGCTCTAGACTGTGTTACGATATAGTACAGAATCGATACCGGTGCATATTCGTATATTGTCCTGTGCCTGTTCGTGAATTGTTATTAAATGTTGGATCTAAATTTATATCTCCACGATTTCACCTATACTCTCATTGTCATAAATACAGGGTGTCAAATTGGCTGTCTTTTAAAAGTAGCCAGTAAAATCCGAATCTCTCCTCCACTCACTCTGTATATTACGTCTTGCTAATACGCTTTCATTTGCGAATTCTAACATGTAGGCTTGGTGGTGCAATTGCTACGCACCCACTGCTCGGCAAGTACTGGGTAGTTTCTGATTACGAGAAAGGTTTCGGCAGAACAGGTATGTCTCGCCTCTTAATTACCCTCTCCCTGTCAGCTGAGTGCCCGTCGTAGGGATTGAGGATAAGATTGGGTTCGGCAAATGGTTGATTCATATCATATCCCTATGTTTAGGATATGCCATACCTCAAAGCTGTCCTGCTGACAAACTTCGTTTCTTGATCGTTTACATCGTAAAGTCGAGAATCTGGCACATTGGGTGGAGTATATACGCTTTTTCATTCACTTCACAGTATTAAATTCATGTGGTATCTTTTTATACTGCAGGTGAGGTTTGGCTTGCATATGTGTCGAAGCCTTCGACCGGTGAAATGGAGTTCGTATGGACAGCCGTTGGAGACCAGTTCAATTCTGGCTTTGGCAAGAGCTTAGCACTCGCCGACGTAAACAATGATGGGTATGTATAGTGTAGTAAACAATGATGGGTACGTATAGTGTAGTAAACAATGATGAGTACGTACAGTGTGGTATACAATGATGAGTACGTACAGTGTAGTATATAATGATGAGTACGTACAGTATAGTATACAATGTTTAGTACGTACAGTGTAGTATACAATGTTGAGTACGTACAGTGTAGTATACAATGTTGAGTACGTACAGTTTAGTATACAAGATGAGTACGTACAGTGTAGTGTACAATGATGAGTACGTACAGTGTAGTAAACAATGATAGATATGTAAAGTGTAGTAAACAATGATGGGTATGTACAGTGTAGTAAACAATGATGAGTATGTACAGTGAAGTAAACAATGATGGGTACATATAGTGTAGTAAACAATGATGGGTATGTATAGTGTAGTAAACAATGATGGGTATGTACAGTTTAGTAAACAATGATGAGTAGGTGCAGCGTAGTAAAAGATGATGTGTGCGTATATTGTAGTTAAGCTACTGAGTGCGTATCTGTAATGAGAGGTACTAAATCAAGTGTTCACGCACAGTGTATTTTCCAAATGACCAAAATCCTGATGTCATAAGCCACATGTACGACAAACCTGAAATGAGGTACAATCCTGATCACAAACGCGAACTCATTTGCAGTGCACCAGATCTACTTGTGGGAGATGTCGTATGGTCGGGCTCTATTCTTGAAACGGGGCGAGTCCATATTTTCTTCGGTAGGATCGACAAGTCGCACCCCGTTTTCTCAGGTAGGTATGGACTGCGGCTCACCCGTAGTTTCGTGCTGATGAAGTCACCCGTCTATATTGCCACTAAAATATTTTATAGGCATTTGTGAAATTCTTTAAACGAAATGATTTGCAAAGCTCGCTTGCATTTTTCTGCATCCAAATATGGACTGTTGCTGTTTGTATTGACACTCTATATGCGCACCCTCTGGCTGAGAACAGACAAGCCCAATCAAGTGATAGAGGGCAAGCTGGTCAACGGACAGTTCGGTTCCTCGATAGCCAATCTGCACGACATCAACAATGATGGGTATGACGATGTCGCCATCTCCGCACCATACGCCGACAGCGGCAAAGGACGGGTGAGTGGTGTTTAGGCCTTTATTCCAATTGTGTCTGTCGCTGTAACGATTTGACTGTGAATCTCACGACAATGCACGAGCGCGCATCGTTCTCTGAGTGACTTTTCTGCTGGAAAGCATATGTCGCGAACAAGGCATACAATCAATTAAACTCACACCACTTTCCGGTGTTGACCGTTCGCTGCTTAGGTGTACGTCTACCTCGGAGGCGTTTCCGGGCTCACGTTACACCAAACTATCAAAGGCGCACAAAACGGCGAACTCTTTGGGTTCTCGATTTCCGAAGGCAAAGATCTGAACAACGACGGTGTTCCCGACACCGGTATGTACATGTCCCTAGAAACTTGTCAAACAGTGCAACTGTACCCATACGTCTGCAGTTATCGACGGGCAGCTATTTGTAGAAATAACTCGCCCGGCGAGTGTAGCTCAGCCCAATCGGCCACCAATCGACCACCAATTGACACGTGTGTGGTACTAACCACCTCTGACTCGTCATCGCTCCAATTCCCTCGTACACCATAACCACTTGAGCTATTGTTTACGACTGACTAGAGTCTGCTGCTATTCCCTTTAACCCCTCCACAGTAATTGGTGCGCCTGGGTACACCTTCGACGGTGTCTCGTTCGGCGGTAGAGCTGCGATCATGTACGGCCTGAAGTACAGTGATGTGACCATCGAGAGCGCGTCCAGCCACAACCCGGCACTGGCCAGCACACAACTGACCACCACGTTTACTATCCGCAACAACGGACCAGAAACCACCCCCCAAAACTCCATAGTGACTGTCACAGTACCCGACAAGGCGTTGTATGGCAGCACAGTGAAATACAATAACGCGGACTGCGCCCAGACGACCACTACCTCGTTTCAGTGTACTATGTATGTGCCGCATAGTGTGTTATGCCGTGTGAAGGTGGTGTTCTGTATATTACTATAGTACCATATCAGTGTATGGTATATGGTATATGGTAAGAGGACATAGTAGTGGAGTATAACATGTGTGAGTGGCGAGATGTCAGGTGTATATCTTGTATGTATCGTGTTAGTCATGCATAATACTATATGTCAGTGTGCGGGGAGACTGTGTGATGCGGTAGTTGATTGTCGATCAGCCTCCAGTTTGGGATTATTCAGTATATATCTGCATTCTACCACACTCAATTCAGTTTTTTGCATCGCGATATCCATGTACAACAAACTTCGGGATATCACTCAGAACTGACATTTACTTGCCGCGCATCTTCACACTCCCCTCTCTACAGTGTGGCAGTGGTACGGGGTGCGAGTACGGGAATTGTGGTGACTCTGCCATTCAATGTTAACCCGAATGTCAACCCACAAGACGCAGCTCTGTCGTTCAAGGCAGTGCTGAGTAAGAAGGGATGTATCCTTAGCGATGTCACAAGCGAGTTGCAAGTGCCTATGATCAACCAGGTATGAGTCTGGCAGTATTTCTTTTGTATGTGATCACATGGCAATTCAGATGTATGTAATAAGCCTTCAGAGCAGCTCGCGAAATCTTGAACGATAATGTCGACTGCCGGCCAAATAGAACACTGATACATATGTTTAGAGATTACTACATAGTACCAGTTCGTTGATACTATCCGACACCCTCACTTACCTGCACGGTGAATAAGTACTATGTTATCAACTGGTCAGTATAACTATGTATACAACCCTCCAACTACAGGTTGATTTGCAGTTCGTCACCTCCGCCACCGACACCAAGGATTACGCAGCACCCGACAGTGGTGACCTAACTGTTGGCACCATGCCTGCATGTGCAAGTGACGGGGCAGTCGCCTGCTCTGTAGTGGCCGATGATATCATTCTGTTCCGTGGGCCCAAGATAATCAACAACGGTCCGATGGATGCGTTTGGTGTGGTCATGACTATCACTCATCCGCCAGGTATGGGTTGTGAAGGGGTTCTGGTTGTCCTTATGTAGTTTTGGGGTGATATGGGTGTAGCAGCTTTGATCGTGATGCAAAATCGGTGAGTGAGCTAGTTCGTTTATTAAACTATATGAATAACAGTCATTCCCAATAAGATATAGGTGTACTATACTCACATACACTAATTTCAAGGCAAATACGCAAAGGTGGTAACTGTAAATTACTCACAGATATTTATTTCAATATAAACACAGATATCTACTACTCTGGCGATGAAGACTGCAGTGCGGGTTGCGTAGCCACACCAAGCGTTAAGGATTACTCCTGCACTGCATCGGGTGCTGGAGTCACAAAGTAAGTAGATCCTCCAACGCCACTTCCTGCAACTATCTTGGCTGCAGATAGGTATATGTTGCTTACTGTAGTAGGCTCGTATCTGACAAAGCTCGATATGTTTCTTCGCACCGTTATTTTAGCCTCCACACCGCTGCACGCGCATTTCTACTACGCGGCATTCTCTTGTGACAAGGAGCACCCCTATACTCATACTACGCGTGGATTTAAAGGGTCTGCTAAGAATTAAACGCTGTGATTGAAACCGACTTGCGATAAAGTACCACTGTCAACTGATTCATTCTAAATCTAAAGTTGTAGAGCTGAGAAACCACCTGATACCTACCCGAGTGATCGAAGACACCTGCACCTTGCTATCTGAGTCCGCCTATCATTACTGTTACTACGCCCTGACCATCAATACTCCACCCTGACGGTTGCTGTACAGGTGTGTGATCCAGATACCCATTGTCAACACAGGCACTGCAATGGCGCCCTTTGAGGGCCGTCACTTGAAGTTTATCATCCCCGTTGCCACCAGCCTGGACAGCTTCCGCTTTCGCATGAGCCTGAACACTGTGTCTACGCTTACCACAGCGTCACTGCCCGTGACCACCAACTCTTTGACGCGTGGTAAGGCACAGTCGAGTGTGGGCCTGTCCAGTCAGTCGTTGGACACCCCTGCGGGCTGTGTGGGTGGCATATACGCCGGTAACAAGTTCGTTGCGAGTATGGAGGTACTGAACACGGCCCAGTACTCGAGTTCGAAGACCGTTGTGTACCTTGAGGTGTGTCAGTGTAGATTAGGTTTTGTTGTCCTTAAAACTGCACATGAGACTCGACTATGTGCTCAATCACGCTTTGTACGCTGGAGCTGCAATGCGATCAACACAAGAGCTTTGAAACGGTGTAAAGTCGCAAACAAACAAGTCACTTAATGATGTCGACAGAGTGTCTGCAATTTGCCAGTATTGCAATCTTTTGCCATGTAGTTCCGTATCCTTGTCCCCATGGCATATTCTTGGAAACATACCCATTTCTAAAGATTTACTTCTGAATACACATTTGGTACTCACTCATCGTTTCCGGGCTGTACTAAATGTGCTCCACCAAATATAGACCCCAAAAGCGCACAAATAGATATGTTTCTGATCTTTTGAACTTCCTAACGTTTGCCACATATTCATTGCCAGACAATGTTGCCACAAACTCATTGTCTGGTCTATTGACCCTAAACTTAACCATAAAACTTGATCAATAACCAATAACAAAGCAGCATCAAAGCAACCCCGGTATGTGCACTATAAGCTCTGAACATCTCTAAATCCGTCAATTGTCGCACATCCCACTGCAGTTGGAGGCTAGTTCGCCCTATACGTTGCCCAATGGAGCGCCGCAAATCACACTGCAGAAGGCAGACGGTGCCTTCTCGGGCAGTTTTTGCACAGACGCCGATGGCAAGCAACTCAACTGGGTGTGTGCTGTACCTTCGGGTGGATTTGTATCTGGGAACTCAAAGGATAAGGCCATTGTCTCGCTCAATGGAAAGGTAGATGCCGCCGCATCGGGGATTATGGATGGTATGTGGTGTGGTTTGGCGTGTACCTGACGAGACATTTACCCCCTAATCTTTGATGATTTTTCGTACGAGTACTTTCTCGAAAATTAAACACGTCCTTCTTCAAATCAATTCTTCCTCGACGGTGATTGTGTTCTTTCTAAATGCGAATATGGTCCTTACTGCAGGTCTTTCTAACCGCATACCTTCGTTGCTTCATATCGCAGAGTTTGTGCGGTTTATCATTCGCGTGGGCACCTCAACGTCTCAGAAACCAGGCGCCATTCTACCTGTAGAACAGGAAATAGAATTCCCGCTGTGTGTCCAGTCGAACTTCCAGCAAACGTTCAAGTAAGCATATGCAGAGACTTGAGCTGAATAGAAACGCGTACGTAGCTACTACTTAACAAGCACTGGTGGTGTTGGTTTGTAGCCAGGACGATTAATCGAGACAAACTCATTTTACTTTCACATCGTACACTCGGTGTGCTCAAATACTGTACAAACGCATCGTGCACCAAGAGAGCTACTTGTTAACCCACACAGTATGAACGGAGTGTACCCAACTGATCCTTGATAGCACATACATATACTTTTTACATTTGACCTGGACGACATATGTTTATACTTCTTATATGTAACTTGTCAATAAACCTCGATGTTACCGCAGAATTGAGGAGAAAACCACTCCGCGAAGCATGCCAGACAACTCGATGATCTACCCCCACGCAAACCTTGCACTGTACCGTACACTGCTGCTGATCAACACCGGACCTTCGCACAAGGCGACAGACTTCTACACAAACATTGCCATTGACACAGACAACGAGTCATGGGGAGACACACTTCCCGCGGGCTGTGTGCAGCAGAGGTATGCAGGCAACTGCGTCCAGTGCTGTACGTAGGTTGCTGTCAGAAGTGTTGAAACTTATCTAACTTTAACTGGGTGTACGTCGTTTGCTGTGGGGACTGATAGTGCACTGCTCTATAAAATTATAAGTGAATGTGTGTAGATTGTAGTGCACTGCTTTGCCTTTAGAGTTATCTCGCACGGGTATGTATAGGACCACTGTTTTCATCCCAAGAGGCCTCGCGAGATGACTCGCATTACCATACAAAGTAACTGCCAGTCGAACCAACCGCTAACATCCCCACGCGATCCAATGCGCGTACCCTTGACTGCAGTGAGAGCATTGTGCACTGTACCACAGGCCCAATGAAGGCCAACGATCCATCCGATTTTGCGTACTGGCGATTGCCCACAGTGCTGAAGCATGCCAACGTCATCACCAGCAAAGTAGCCACCACCACAGCACAGGCCACACCAGAGGTAAGGGAAACATTACTCACTACTTAAGACCAAATTATTTATTTGTTGGAGGGTGTCTATGAAGTTTGTGAGATGATACAGTTATCGTGTCTTGATATCAGGACTTCTTATCAGAGCTTGATGTATCTGAAAGGTATCTGTTCACGTGCCAAATTTGAATCACCATACGTGATCCGTAACCGATCGAGCTCTACCGACATTGACTTCGCCACAGGGAGGCACCACATCGTTCGCCAGTTTCGGCATCTACTACGGCGTGGATATCAGCCTCAGTGCCAATGGCATCACGGACATTCCCCTTGGATCCAAGGCAACCTTCATTCTCGCAACAACCAACCGCCACCCGTCCACAGACGCCACTGACCTCAACATCACGTGGGCATTCCCAGCCAATGTATGTAGGCATGTGTCATGGAGGTTTCATATTACTTTTATCATTGCTTTTATATTTTATCGTACTCTTATCGTACTCTTGCCATTATTTTTATCATTTTATCAATACTTTTTATATTCTGTATGCATTTACACCCCCAACAGCAAATAAAACTTCTCACTGAGACTTACCCCACCCCATCTCTCCATAACACGCACACATACACACACTCACACACGCACGCACACACACACGTACGCACGTACACAACGCACGCACACACACAGCTGGAGCTTCAATACGACGAGCTTGCCTTTTCCGGATACACCGTCAACCCCGTGTGCGAGACGTTCATGTCCAACGATACCAATAGTGACAACCTCATTCCTATGCTGACGTGTATAGGCACACAGCCAGCTGGGTCGAGTACACGCGTACGTATCCCAGCCACGGCTAAGAACGCCAATGCAGAGACTGATGTTGCGGCTGTTGGACTAGTGGCCACTGCTAGTATGTTCGAGTATCACCCGTGTGAGTGCCCCTTATGAGTGCCTTTATGAGTGCGTGAATGGTCTACCATCCTTGTGAGGGCTTGGAGTGAGGTCCTTATAAGAAGTGATGTATATGTTTCAAGATGTGGAGAGCTCGTTGGCCTGAACGTGTGCGTTGTATTTTACCACATGCCGGCAGACAGCTGTGCTGCTGTTGGACTTCTGCTTTTGCGTATCTCTACTTACCTCTGGGTAGTTGTCTGTTGTTCTATTAGTAATTTCATCTGTGGGTATTGATGTGATGTTCTGATGGTTGTTGCTTTTGCATCTCTATCTGTGGGTATTAGTTTGATGTTCTGACGACGATTGTTAATCTATTGTTTTGATGATGATTGCAGGAGTTCTGTCCATGAATGAGCCCGACACCCCCGCCGACCGCCTCACACGTGCGAAGAGTGTGACGTGGAACTTTGCCACCACTTCATTTGCGAATGTGGAGGTGACACTCATCCCTGACTACAGTGTCGTAGACCCAGACACGGGTGTGCACATGTTCGCACTAGATCAGACTGTGCAGATGCAGGCCACCATTCGTGATATTGGTTCGTTGGTATGTACACGTGCGTGTGCTTTGTTTCGGCTATATATATATATATATGCGTGTGTGTGTGTGTGTGTGTGTGTGTGTGTGTGTGTGTGTGTGTGTGTGTGTGTGTGTGTGTGTGTGTGTGTGTGTGTGTGTGTGTGTTGTGTGTGTGTGTGTGTGTGTGTGTGTGTGTGTGTGGTGTGGTGTGTGTGTGTTGTTGTAGTGTGTGTGTGTGTGTGTGTGTGTGTGCGTGTATATATATATATGTATATGTACGCTATGCGTGTACGGATGCATTGGCACTGAGGCCTGTGACAGCGTAATCATATCTAGTATGCGCATGTTTACATATATGTGACTTAACGCACAAGCTGAGAGTGTTGGGTCTGGCCTCTGTCTCGCATCTGGGCTCACATGTGTAAGACAATAACCACATGTCACCGTGTTCCAGTATCACGGAACATACCTAAGCCTTCGTTCATTGGCTGGATGTTCTAGACATGATTACAGGTACTGCATCACAATACAAGCTTTGATTTGAGATCGTATGTGTTCCTGTTGTGCCCAATACTTCGAGCGGTACAGTCGTAGAGTTGTTCTCGTCGTCTCCCGTGCTCGTTCAGGAACTTTATTCATTACCACAACTTTTGTTGCTAAGGACCATTACTACCTCATGAACAGTCACACATAAGGTGTACTCTCCATCTGGCGTCCATCAATGCAACTCAACCCCATCGCGTTCTTTCTCCCAGGCCACCACCGGGCTGGTTGCAACTCTCGAGTGGGACGACAACATGCGATTGCGCTCTAATACGAAACGAAAATGTGCTACTGGTGCGGTCACTACAAACACCACGTGGACGTGTGACTACAGGTCTATTGATCAAACCGACCGCTTCCTGGAGAACTCGTAAGTACTAGCATAATTTTTTACATCATTCCGTGCTAGTATGTATTTCGCCGTTTCATTCCCAACCAGGTGCTGCTTCATTTGTTGATGTATCTGTCTATGAGATCGTCGTGCATCTCCCTGAGCGAGCCGAGAGTACGACCATTGGACTGCAATATCGCGTTCTAGTATCACAGCTCACATGCAATGTACTTCACTTCTGCGATCGCAGATTCACCTTTGATTATTTCGTGGATCCGGCTGTGAACGATACGTTTGAGGTCTACTGGCGTGTGCAAAGCGATAACGATCGAATTCCAATAAATGATGGCGCGAGCATTGACGGTACGTGGAAATCATCATCGACGTACGCACCTTTGCGAAGAATTCAAACTTCTATTTGCATGTTTCTAGTGTGTTGTTTTGTATGGTTGCTAGTGTGTTATCTTGAATCGAGGAGGGGTGGAGATAGCACCTCGCCTTCGGCATCTAGCGTTTTGGTCGCTCCTATAACTGGTACAATAAATACGGTAGGAAACCTTCCCGATGCTACAAGTATCAAACAACCCCTATACTGGTGTACTCAAGTGTACAAACGCTTATCCCTCCAGGTCAAATTTCCGAGCCCGTTGTGGATCTAAAGGTGTCAGCGCAGATCAATCCAAAGACTCTGCTGCCCAACCAGCCCTTCACCATGACCATCCTATGCCGTAAGTCGATTGCTGCTCAGTTACTTTGGCAGGCACGACGCAATACGTCCATAGATTGCACACATGTATATGAATATGAACAATGAGTGTTAGTACTGGCATAAACCCCCCGCCCACGGAATGAACCGTGCATTTATACTACTTTATTGAAAATTCACAGATCAAAAACAAATGAATACTCTTAATGGTTGTGTGGTACTTTAAAGTGTAGGGGTTGTGTCGAAACAAATGAAGATATTTCGGAGCTCTATGCAACAAACTACTAACCCAATTACGGCGTCTCACCTGTGCGTGTGTCTGGTAGACTGATAGAACGAGTGACTTTCAACGAACTCATCGTACAAGCCACCATTCGACACACACTATAGTGTATGATCAAAAAATTGCCTCTGATGCATCACCTTGACTATGATCTACTACTACTTTCAATTAACTATACTTGGGAACCTGCGAATACGGTCAACTTAACACCTATTCGACTCTTTCCCATCCGCCATTCCACACAACAGAAAACCAAGGCCCTTCCGCGGCCGCCAACGTGACGCTAGAGACGTCTAATTGGCCATCTCTGTGGATGGACATGATTCAGATACCCGAAGATTGCACGGTGGTGAACTCGCAGATAGAGTGCGATATGCCTATTCTGGTGCGAGGTGGTGCGTCTGTCAGCTACACGTTCAACGGCACGAGTAAGCCAGAAATTGCCAACGAGCTCAACGACTTTGTGGAGAGAACCGTTTGGAAGTTGAATGAGGGCACTATTGCCAGGTATACCTAAAGAATGTGATCAACGTCCGTGTGAGTATATACTGTACGATTGCAACTAATTGCTATGTATTATCAGTGTATGAATGATTTAAATTTTGCTATATATACAAGCCTCAATCTAAGCAATACATAAGTGGCTAATCCGTTGCCTTGTTTATTTCATTTTATGTCATACTCAAGCACAAACTTGCACTGTCTGCGAACCACACAGCAATGGAGACTTCAAGAATAGGGCTCTCTACTTCATATATACTAACTTCCAACCGAAAGAGACCGAGGTGCCCAACAACTCAAAGACAACCAATACCATTGCGGCTGTGGCAGGTGCCACCGCTATATACCTGGCTGCAAGTGGTAAGTTTCAGAGCTATACCTGTACATGAGTATAACTTTGTTGCAAACTTGCACATACGATCTGTCGCGTCAAACTTGTATCTAGGTATACCGCCGAATGTGTTTATGTGTGCCATACTACACACTTGTCTTGATGTATGACTCTCAGAATTGATTGCACTCGACACCATACCCATCCTTCGAGAAGATCCATTCTTTGAGAAGCATAATAATATTTGACGTATATTGTTGTTCAAAATTATGCAGAATGACAGGCACCCAGTCCATGTGGGTATAGCTAATATAGCTATGAATATGTTCATGCCTGTAAATTAACGTACTAAGTTAACATTTTTCTTCCATTCTCCAGGTATCTTCATGCTTTACCATGCTCACTTCTTTGCACGGCACCCTCCACCGGAGACCTTCGTTGAGCCTGATGTAGGCGAGCTCTAGATGCCTACCGAGGAGAATTCGATGCAAAATTATTTTTCAATTTTTCGCTGGAGTATAGACATAAGATGTCCAGGACATTTGCTGATAACTCTGCTGGAAGCAATTGTAATGTAGTAGGATACAGATTTGTTTTGCAGGATATTTTCAGTGTCATGTCGCAATTGGGTATACGAACTTCAACCTAGTAGATACGCAAGTACAGATCTGGCTGCACTGAGACTAAAGTCCGAACTACCCCTAGTGTATGAAAGGATATGATGTAGTCGCTACTGGAACACAAGAGACTCAGTTAAAATCGCATCTCGTAGATGAACAGATATGAACTGAATAACCAGACTATGCATGTATTGTTTCGTGTCAGAAAGCACTCGAGGCAGAGTTGCATGTCACTAAATAAATAAGAATTGCAAGTCACTAAATAAATAAAAGGTGCAAGGCACTAAATCAATAAACAAGTACATACACTGATATAGAGGTACATTCGCTTGATGTAGGCTTAAAATAGACAAGTACATACGTATGAACACGTTACTCGAGTCCGAAAAGTGACGCCAACATCCAAGTAAACCAGTAAATATGATATACCAGAATTCACGCTCTAATGTGACCACGGTATGTCTTTCTAAAAGTAGCGACTCATTTTGAGATTCTTTGTCATAATGCAATCTCTCGTTTAGCGGACAGTTTGATACCGCTTACAGCGGTGACACGATATGTGAGGGTAATAGGTATATCGGTTAGGTTGTCGTGTAAGTGTCACTTGTACACGACTGACAGTGCATACAATATTCGGACATACAACACAAGAGTATGTATGCACAAAAGGGAAACGCATATTCTAAACTTGAACTCCTAAAAATCCACCGTGGACCCGTGGTGCATGAGACAGCTGACCAGCTGCTCGCCTATGAAGTATTTCATTCTCTGAACCCACCATAAAACCAAGCAAGAACTATTCTAAACATTCCATATGTGGAGCTCGCCAATGAAAAGCAGTGCACACTTCTGCAAAGTTTATATTTTCATTATAACTTTGTTTCAAATACACAGTATGCAAGAGAGAAATTGGATTTGGAGGCTGGCATTCTCAGAGAGCGAGAGAGAGACTGGCTATGTGGTATCGGCCTCAAGGCGCCGGGTAAGATATATGTTCAAACAGCATCATAGATATAGACGCATAGTCCATTTCGCGATGTACATAAGATTCGCAGCTTATGATTTAGTATTTACCCAATTAAAGAATACAGACCACTCCACAGACCACTACTCATCACAGGTTTTGAATCTGTCTACACCTTTAGCATGGATGTCGATGTTGGAGGAGTAAACATTGCGCATATTGCTGTGCATTTATGGTGTCGAGAAGGTAGTCTTTGGTATGTGGACGACTTTAATAATAAATGATAGAGGGTAGAAGTAGTTCGGATGTAGAATTGAGACGCTGGTTCGATTCTTGTAAGCAAGCTCGATAAAAAAGGTGTGTAGCGGTGTCGTCATTTGATATATTAATGTACTAGTGCAGCGGATTATGGCGACTCCAACAATGACATACACACTATGAGCCCGAGATTGGCACAACTGGTTTAAACTGCCAATGATGGTCTTGGTAATAATTAAAAGGATGTGTTTTGTGTCTATAAATATCCACAAGTACGTTATCGCTTGATAATAATAGTCAATATTCTATTCAAGTTCTTATTTAGGACGTGGGGACCGTGCGGTAATTTCGATTGCATGTTAGGTTTTGAGTACTTTCATCAATACGCGACTAGCCAGCTGTTTTGCTGTTTGTGTAGACGGTATAACACATACGGAAACAAACAGAGAAGAATTGGCTTTGCTTCGAAGAACCCCATCGGACCTGATGTTCAATCATCCAAGCCCTGCAGGTGCGTCATTGCAGTCCCTGATTGTATTTGGTTATTTCGTTGTATTCTGCAGTACTGTATTGATTAATACGGACTTGCAGTATTATGTTTTTAAGCCTCGCGATACTCTGAAGGCAAAATGTTTACAGACCATCCCAGGCTTAGACTCGTAGTTGTCGTGATTTGCTATCCCTGCTTGTTGGTGCCTTCAGGTTAGCGAAACTGTCCCCTCGTTGCTGAGTGGCATTCTGCCGTAATGGACCAGCTATAAGCGTGCAAATGAGCGTGCACACGTCTGCTTAATTTTTATAATATATCCTGATGAGATAAGCGTAGAATGTGGCTGTAAACTGTTTTACATATAAACCACCGAAGCAAAACATGACTGCCCGGGTATAACTCCATGTTTGCATGTGGATTGAAGCGATCAACCTCAGCCCAAAAGAGGATTAGGAATGACATAGTGAAGATCTTGTTTTTTCCCTTTGAAGTGCGTCAATAATGTATGCGACCATAGAGGAAACCCAATTTTGTCACCATTTAGCAAGAATGTATCGTATGCATGGGGAACAACGAAAGACCGCCTATATTAATGATGCTGCGAAGATTCATGATTGTACCAACACTTAGCCCAATGAAGAATTTCCTTATCCACTTTATATCAGGCCAAAACAGGACACACAGCACTACTGAAACATCTTGCGTGTTTGCTGCATGACATATGAGCTCTAAAAACATATCACATGGTGAGTTCGCCTATCAAATTATGCCTGCCAACACAAATGCATACGCGTCACAACCATAGGTGCCACCCCCAACCTCATTGATCGCACATACATTTAAAACATGGTTTCTTTGCTAATATAGTGATTAATTCAAGAGCATGAACTATATAACAACCCATGAACACCCTCCCTGTAGCCCCATAACTATGTTGTGCCTACACATTAAATGTAGACATCAATGAGACAGGGTTTGAATAGTATTCTGTTCTGTATACTCGAGAGCGGGTTTCCAGAAATTGCGCACTGCAAGGCAAAAAGTGCCTTTTTGGTCGCGTACGCACAACCCGTGAACACCCTCCCTGTAGCCCCATCACTACGCTGTGCCTACACATTAAATGTACTAAACATCAATGAGACAGGGAAAAACAGTCGAAATCATCAATTGGGTTTCAACTAAAATACCCACAATACCAAAACGATATGTACCGTCCCGTAGCCTGATGTGAATGACTTCCTGAACCCGGGTTTTATAAACGCCTTGACCCAAAGGCTGATGACGCAGCGAAGGATTCCCATCCGCCAAGGCATCTGTAGACTTGATATGTATTTCCGAGAATTGCAACAACATATCTTCCAAGCCAATAATTAAGTCTGGTTCATCGATTCCGGCCGAGTTCTTGGTCCAACTCTGGCGCATTCATCTCAATATCCGGAAATTCACGGGAAGGCAATGACACACCACCGGCCAACTTCGATGCATCAGAGCACAACACTATTTATTATTTTGGTGTGGGAACATACAATCGAATCCGCATCTTTAAATAAAGTAAGCGGTGCCGAGTGCGACCATTTGTTCAGTACCCCAGAGGAAACACTCATGCTTGCGCGTTAGTCGGTCTCCTTTATCATAAAGTATGTGGGCATCATTCCACTCCATTACGATAACATTGCCAGCAATGCTGCCACGTCAGGCCTATAATTGGGTGCAGTTTCATTCAAGAAATCCCGTTGACTATCATGGCCGACCATGAATTTATGGTCAAGAACATTACGACCAAACACACGCAACACCTCCGGATGCAACACCGCTATCTGCGGCTTATGCGGCTGTAACATAATCTTTTCTCAGTATAAATATCGAGCGTAAAGTGTATCTAAAATCAATGATTACGCATCGAAAATATGCAAGTACATCCCACTATTTGTTGTTGAGCAATATCCATATCGCCCATGGATGCCATGAGTGTCCCAATCAGCGTAGAGTATGGAGAGTAGCTGAAAGGTACGAGACAATAGGAAACAATAGACCTCTTCTCAAGTACGGATATCTCAGCTGGGAAAAGTCCCTGACTGAGAGAACCGAACTGAGTCTTTATTTGTGTTTTCACTAGACTCGGATTTACTTGAGTGTTTCTTTCACACGCGGGAGTCTGGGTATAGCTTACCGGTTCTACCGCTAATATTCCTGATGACTCTAATATCAGAAATATTCCAATCCTAATTCCCCATGGATGTCATGAGTGTTTAAAGCAGTGTAGAATATGGAGAGTAGCTGAAAGGTACGAGACAATAGGATACAATAGACCTCTTCTCAAGTACGGATATCTCAGCTGGGAAAAGTCCCTGACTGAGAGAACCGAACTGAGTCTTTATTTGTGTTTTCACTAGACTCGGATTTACTTGAGTGTTTCTTTCACACGCGGGAGTCTGGGTATAGCTTACCGGTTCTACCGCTAATATTCCTGATGACTCTAATATCAGAAATATTCCAATCCTAATTCCCCATGGATGTCATGAGTGTTTAAAGCAGTGTAGAATATGGAGAGTAGCTGAAAGGTACGAGACAATAGGATACAATAGACCTCTTCTCAAGTACGGATATCTCAGCTGGGAAAAGTCCCTGACTGAGGGAACCGAACTGAGTCTTTATTTGTGTTTTCACTAGACTCGGATTTACTGGAGTGTTTCTTTCACACGCGGGAGTCCGGGTATAGCTTACCGGTTCTACCGCTAATATTTCTGATGACTCTAATATCAGAAATATTCCAATCCCAATTCCAAAACTCAGTATTTGATTATTCTGGGTTTTGGGATTTGTATTGGCTTTTTGATAATCTGGTCCCTAGAGGCTACACCAGTGCATGTTATACCAACCACTCTGCACTCATCCTAACGAACAAGTAGGCTGGTGATTTCGTTGTACGATGAGTGGAAAGTTATGTAGCCCTGAGAGTCCTCCAATAGCTTCAATTGGTTGTAGGCTGATGCCACATAGGTTGCCGATTGAGCAGGTGCACCCCGTGCGTGATTCAACAAATCCTCCTCGCAGGGCAATAACACCGGTAAAATATGGAATTCAAGATTGTGCGATCTATAGTCAACTATTAAACGCCAAGCTTTGTCATTGACAGGTACATGGCGTGAGTTCTTATGTGGCAACACACACGAACAACCTCACAAACTATGCGGATCATCCGGTCAGTACTTGACAGCATACGTAACATCATTATTTTCAGTCTCGAAGCCCTGCTTCACAGGATTCGTTGTACTATACATACAACGAATGAGGAAGTATGCATTCCTTTAACATACTATGGACCATTTCGGCATGTAGAAAACGGGAATACTTTCTATCCCAGCGCACCTTTTTGAACTTTTTTTTAGTGCACCTAAGTATCGTCGAGAAAAACTATATAAAC